TACCTTTTTGCCTGGATTTTACCCGACCTCGCTAGCTTGTTCCGTTCAAAGGTTAAAGGGGGAGGAGGACTTTTTACGTCCTCACTGTATATATAGTAGAAGGCATGAATTTGAAAAATGTCTAGTTTTTCAGTAGATTTTTCATCGATGGGCCTTGTGAATATGTGGCACCATGCATTGTCCATATCACAAATTTTCATATTGACCTTACTGCCGACACAATGTTTTCTCATACACTAGTTTCAATTCCACCAACATTAAAGATCTACCAATATTCAGCAATATTTATTGTCTCTAAAAGATGTGGACCTCATTAGTAGCTGGCTATGAAAACAGAGCGAGTGTAGAATGTTTTTAAATCCTTGCCACCTCCCTGTCGAATTCACGAATTTTTCATACGAGAGCGAATACTAATCCAGGATACGAAAATTAGAAATGGTTGTGATATAAAATGAGTTGGTTTCAAATTTTTGTGGTTCTGATATCCTGGATTATTATTCGCCGCTGTATGAAAAAATTGTAAATTCTACAGAGGTATGTGACAAATATTATAAAACATTCTCCACTCGCTTTTTTTCATAGTCACCTACTCGTTAGGTCCACAGCTTTTATATTCAATAAATACTGCTGAATATTGGTGAATGTTTATTGTTGGTAAAAATTGAATCTAGTGTGTGACGAAACACTGTATCAGCAACAAAGCAAATATGAAAATTTATGATATGGACAATGTTGCCAGATATTTACAAGTTCAATCGATGAAAAGTCTACTGAGAAACTAGAATTTATCAGAATGTTGGGCTAAGACTAGAAATATCTCATAAGTTGTATATTTTTGAAAAGCGAAAAGCATCAATGTTTCAAATGAGGAAAAATATGCGTGATGTTCCATTTGAAAAAACATAACTTTGGATTGATTATATCTGGATAATAGCAGCTTATTCTGAAATTCTGATTACGCCACTGGATTCTACGTGAAAAAATGTATGACAAACACTTTCGACTTTTTCGATGAATTGGGAGATGGTTGAGATACAAGAAAGGTCCCGAAATGCAGCATTTTCAAATTCGCCCTGTATCTCAAAAAGGCAGCGGGCTACAAAAACTTGGTTAAGGGTATCGTGAGTTTCACTAAAAAGAAGCCCACGTTTGCGAAAATGGAAAATCTCTATTTTAGAAAATAAATGAGATACCTATCCCGTTATGACATCGAAAATGGGACAGCCTGTACAGGGTATTCACGAATATTCAGAACCCCTACTCAACTTTTTTATGTATTGTCAATTTTATTTATCCAAGAAACTTTCTTCAATACTCTTCCTTTAAATTTTCAAATTTTATATATGCCAATGAAAAAACTGACTATTCTTTCAAAAGTTCAACTGTTTTTCTGTTGGTTTATACAGAAAAAATATGAGAGATCGTTCTTGGAAACAAAATTGAATGATACATGAAAAAATAAGCAGGGGTTCAGTACAAAATACTGAAGAACTGTCAATAGTAACTCTTTATGAATAGATATGTTGTACTCATTTCAAACTAATCAATGCCACGCTGTTTCAATTAAGACTTCCAATTAGGAACTGATGATAAGTGTATATGCACAACAGAGTTATACATCAGGAATTGATCATGAATATACCTGCAGAACGCATTTCAAACCCATAAATGCCACTGTAGTACAATGAGAAACTCTGATCAGGAACTGATTATGAATGTATCTGCAGAACACAGTTCATACTCATAGAGTTAATATGGAATTTCTATGAGGAACTGATTATGAAAGTATCTGCAATAAACATTTCAAACTCATAAATGCCACTGCATTCCGATAAGGAGTCCTGATCAGGAACTGATTATAAATCTATCTGCAAATCAGAGTTCATATGGAATTGCTATGATGAACCCATTATGAATGCATGTATCTACAATACACATTTTGAACTCATAAATACCACGGTATTCTAGTGATAAATTCCGATTAGTGACTGATTATGAAATGTATCTGCAAAACAGAATTCATACTCGTAGATCTCATATGACTGTGCTATAATAAGCTATCTATGAATGTATCTGCAATACACACTTTGAACTCATAAATGCCAAGGTATTTGAATAAAATCCCGAATAGGGACTAATTATAATTAATGTATCTGCAAAACAGCGTTTATTGTCATACACTTCGAAAGAAATTGCTATTAGGAACTGATTATAAATGTATCTGTGAAACACAGATTATACTCATAGAGTACGTGAAAAACTGCCAATAGGAACTCATTATGATCGTTCCTGTGAAACACATTTCAAACTGATAAATGCCACGGTAATTCAATGAGGAATTCCAATTAGGAACTGATGATGAGTGTATCTGCAAAACAGAGTTATACTCTAAGTGTTCCTGAGGAATTGCTATTAGGTATTGATTATGAATGTACCAGCACGATACTTTTCAAACTCATAAATGCCACTGTGCTCCAATAAGGAATTCCGATTAGGAATTGATCATGGATGTTTCTGCAAGACAGAGTTTATACTAATAGAGTTCATACGGAATTGATATAAGAAACTCATTCTGAATGTATCTGCAACACACATTTCAAACTCATAAATGCCACGGTATTTCAATAAGAAATTATAATAAGGAACTGATTGTGAATGTATCTGCAAAACAGTTTATACTCAAAAATTCCCATTATAAATGTATCTGCAATACACATTTTCAACTCATGAATGCCACGGTATTTCAATGAGAAATTCCAATCAGGAACTGATTATACATGTATCAGCAGAACAGAGTGCATACTCAAAGACTTCGAAAAGAATTGCTATTAAGAACTGATTATAAATGTATATGTGAAACACAGCTGATACTCATTGAGTACATGAAGAACTGTCAATAGAAACCCATCATGAATGTACCTGTCAAACACATTTCGAACTGATAAATGCTACGGTGTTCCAATGGGGAATTCCAATTAGGAACTGATGATGATTGCTATAAGGGACTCATTATGAATATATCTGCAATACACATTTCAAACTCATAAATGCCACGTTAATTTAATAAGAAATTGCAATTAGGGACTGATTTCAAATGTATCTGCAAAACAGAGTTCATACTCATAGAGTTGCTATTAGAAACTCATCATGAATGTATATGCAGAACACATTCCATTCTCATGAATGCCACAGTGTTTCAATGAGAAATTGCCATCAAAATCTGATTATAAATGTATCTGTAAAACATAGTTCATACTCAAAGACTTCGTTGGAAATTGCTATTAGGAACCGGTCATGAATGTACATGCAGAACACGCATTTCAAAATCATGAATTACGATGTTTTAATAAGGAATTGCCATTTAGAACCGATAATGAATGTATCTGTGAATTACAGTTCAAACTCATCGACTCCATTGAGGATTGCCATTAGGAACTGATTATAAATGTAACTGCAGAATACATTTCGAGCTCATAAATTACTGTTTCACTATCCAACTTGACTCTGATATATTCTCATATGTAAATAACCAGGAATTACTAGTAGGAACTGATTATGAATATATCTGCGAAAAACAGTTCATTCTCTTAAGAAGAAGGGAGAGAATCGCCATTAGAAACTGATTATATATGGATCTGCAAAATACATAGGATTATACGGAATTACTGTTTCACTATCCAACTTCATTCTCATTAATTCTCATATATATTTTTTTATAAGTTTCTATGAGACATTTTTGGCAGGGATGTATTGTCCAGAATTCTTAGACAGAAATAACGCATGAAACATCATAACATACGACTACAGTTATAACGGTAAATCCTTATCAACACTCATGAATTCTGGAACACATCTTACCTCAGCTTGACTAATAAGATACGTTTCATTATAGATCAGTAATTGCTTATAAGAAATCTCGAATACTTGAAACCACATATACCACATACAAGCTCATCAGCAACCGATAGAATCATGACAGCAGTTCCCTATTGAATATCATAATTTATCGAACACTTTTCACCCTCACAAAAACTCATGAAATACGTTAAAGATTATATCTATATTGTCTTTTAAAAACTTATGATTACTCAATAATTATTTACCGGATTCAAGCTGATAAGAAACCTATAATTTTAGAACCGTGTTTTCATATTTGAGCTCATAAACCTAGAAACTAGTTAACTTATAAACACTCATTGGACACATTTCAGATTAGGCATTCATTGTCTAATTGAAACTCGTAAATTCTCAGTTATTCTGAGTCACATGAATGCTAATAGAAATCGCATTAAATTAGATAAGGAATTCCTTAGTGAAACTCTAAAATCCTGATATATTTTTTCCTGACGATACCCAATAGAATTCTATTTGTAAATTCCTACACATTTCTCATATATACTAAGGCGCATGAATGTGCATAGAATACTTTTCCAATTGGAAGTGGAATATCTTATTGGTGGTCATAGGCTCCTCAAACCACTTGTGCCTGATAAAAACTCTCATACTCCATATTTGTATACGCTTATAAATCACATATACTCATGAAATATCATTAAACCTTTTAGAAAGTTCATGTGCCAGAGATAATGTACTCATACGCTACAGAACTCGGTTATATATCCTTATTAATACTCATATTTTATCTATATTTCTTCATGAGACTTCATAAGGTATTTTTGGCAGGGCTTGCATGGACATTCTACAACATGTACCACGTGGGACGTCTAAGGGATGCTATTTTTGGTTCGGGACATTCGGACGTGAATTTGCCAGATTGGGACGTCTCTTGTGTGCTATTAGGGAATGATATATATAAAAACTTGTAGTGTTGATTGGGAGTAATTAAATATACATGGGTACCTGAATACGCAAATACAGATATGTTCACCTATATGAATACATGTAAATAGGAACCAATTTTTTAGTGTAATACTATAATAATATCAACATATTATGTAAATTTCTAGTCGATATGGGGGTTCCACATCATGAACACTCACCTTGTTGCTTCACATATAATTCCTTCAAGTAAATTTCTCTCCATGTCCCATTTTTCGGAGTTTCATTGTCGGGAAAAACGGTGACAACAGTCACATCATGGCCAGCCTCTGCTAATGCCCTCATAAGGGCACCTCCAAGGTTGTAATGACTCTTCGAGCTTATAGGGAAAATACCCAGTATACGATACGCACATATTGTATTTGTTAGGAAAACCAACGATAATATTGTCGGCAGTCTAAAACGCATTGTCCGCGTGTTGTTGAGTCAACTGATAGACCTTGGTATTCCTCATGTATTTATTACATAAGCGTCTAGCTATAGTATTATCATCAATGGCTCTTGGAATTTCGAAGACGTACACAGAGAAAAAAAATCACTTACCCTTGGTGAATATTTTATAGTGGCAATTAAAAACTTGTATACTATTTGAGACAAGGACACAAGTTGATAGCCACTAGAATATTTGTGTTTCTGAAAATGTACATCTACCACTATTGACCTGTTCCATTGAATTATTGATTGATTACCGTCAGTAAACACAGCACTTGTCATTAGTGACTTATCCACTTGTCATAACTGACTAATCCACTTATCATTAGTGACTCATTCATTTGGGATTGGTGACTTATTCACTTGTCATTAGTGACTGGTTCACTTGTCATCAGTGACCTGATCGCATGTCATTAGTGACTTATTTACTCGTCATCAGTGCCTTTTTCACTTGTCATGAGAGACTTATTCACCTGTTATTAGCTGGGTACTATGAAAAATTACATACAATGCTCAGTGAGAGTTGTTGACCTTGATAAGAATACAAAAACTCGTGTATTTGAAGAAATTATTGTATAGCTAAGGTTGAAGACACTAGATACCAGGTATATCTGCCCAGACAGCACCAGATATTCCATGAATCTCCCTATCATATTCCTTTTGGAATATTGGAACATTCTAGGAATTATCTGGAATACTCAGGAATATCTTTGGAATATTCTCTAAATATGCGAATGGGAATGCCTCAGATATTCATAGAATATATCCAAGAGAATATTCTATGTTGAATGTTCCTGGAATATTCCAATAAACATATTCTAAAATAAAAAAAGTGACCCAAGTAGGGATCGAACTCGTGACCTCAAGACTATCAGAGCAACGCCTCGACCACTAGGCCCAGTAATCGAATTGAATAAATTTTTACATATCAATTTCTTGTGAGAGCGTTGTTCGAAATCGGATCATAAACACTTTTGGTTTCGAAATCCCCTTACATCTGATTGATGTTTGATACTCACATCTCTGAAATAATGATTGGTATTTATGTGTTGAGAAACATAGGAATATTCATGGAATATTTCATGAATATACAACAGAGAATATTCAGTTGGGAATATTCCTGGAAAATTCATACCTGAACATTTCCTGAACATTTCCGACTATTCACTTTGGAATATTCCTATTAGATGTTCCAGAGGCATGTATATATTCTAGGAATAATCGATGAATATTCGGAATATACTCCTTTTCAGCATATTCAGAGAATATTCTAGGAACATCTAGTGCTGTCTGGGTGGATCATGGGCCGAGAAAAACTGCCCATCAGATGCACTCGTATACTCATTTCTCTTCAGTGATCTGGATGAAGAATTGAAATTAACTTTCATACTCAATAAAAGTCACTTTCTCCCACTTCGAGTATCATCATCGAGTGGAATATATATAGAATCCCGTATCTGATGTCAACAATTATCTACTGTTCTGGGAGAGATATGTATTTCATTTTCTTCTTCAAGAGAATAACAGATCAAGAACTCAATATATCACAGATCAGAGCGCGGCACATGAACTGAAAATCTTTACGAACATGATATACTAGTTGCATGACTTGGAATTTCAATTTGTATTTTACCCTAATAACACAATTCGGTCCCATGGATATCCTTAGGACGTCCTTGAGGGACATTATATAAGATTTGAAGTCATGCCAGAATATGTTCAACTCGGGGATATCCGATGGATGTCCCTAAAGGAACGTTTGAAATTATATCCCATCAGGGACATACCAATAAGGACGTCCTCGCATGGACATTCTACAATATGTAACACGTATAACGTCTGAGGGATGCTATTTCTTGGACATTCGAAATGATGTACCTGCTGGGACATTCCGTGAACGTCCTTGCTCGGACATTGTACGGAATGGGACGTCCAAGGACACTTATTTTTGGTCCGGGACATTCGGACTTGTATTGTACCAAATAGAGACGTGTCCCTAGGACGTTGTGTGCTATTACGGTAGCGAGGACGTATACTCCACAAATGCTAACATCATAATGAAACCGTGGGCAGTGAGAGTGGTCGCGTTGGACGTGGGCACCCGAATGATATATCGGTGTCCAAACGGCGAAGAGATGTATAACCACAGGTCAGCTGTCACCTGCACCAATCGACTTGATATATTGTCTTCATCGGTGAGTGCACTCAGAGCAAGTGATTGTGCCTTAAAAATATAATTGAATAAAGGTGAGTATTCATTAACCAAGCACTAGTTTAGTGATCCCTTATAATTAGCGACCTCAAAATACATGTCCATTTGGTTAATACCAACAAGTGTCCAGATCACTTACAGCAGAATCATTGTTTCAGAAATATTGTTGTACCTACTGAAATACTTTTTTTCCTACCGTTGGTGAAAATGGTCTTGTCACAATCGACTTTTTTCCACTATTTACTTGGCCGAGTTTTCACAGTGTAGGTAAAATCATTGATACAAGGGAGGAAACTATTATTACTGTCTCGAGGGGTGGTACATTCATTTTACTTGATTTCTTGGTATTTTCTCTCCTCGTTTCTATAAAATAATAATATTTATGCGTATTATTTCAATATATTTGTATAGTGGGAAAAATTAGATGATTGGCCCCAAAATGTCACTGCGTTCAACAAATGTTTCTATGGGGGAGTATTACTCTGTGAGCGGGCTATAGAAACACGTGTTTTAATACGCTCTGAGGAAAGTTAAGTTTTGAGTGGTAAAAAGTGTGTAGAAAATCGTTTGTTTTTACGAAAACACTTGATGAAATCCGTAATTATATATTACTGATAAACCTATGAAGTGAAACATACGTAAGAAGAGTTTATGAAGAGTTTTTAGCTGTAATATTAATCCAATTCAACTTCATACTACGCGATCCATACACAACCCACAGTTTTTGCGTCAAAGATAAGAGCCGCGCAAAAACAGTGTTTTTGCAGCAGTAGGTTCTCTGTGCTAATTTGGACGAATAAAGTTCGAAACATGTCAGCTGTTTGTTGTTACTGCGGGTTATCTTTGAAAACAAGGAATGTAGTTAAATGCAACGAGAAGGAGTGCTTGAAATCATGTCATCCAGATTGCATGCCACAAGGTAAATTGCAAGATAATTGGTTTTGTAGTAACCATGCAGAGCCATCGATGAGGGAACTTCTTCAAGAAATTCGGAAAGTTTTTGAAATGAATGCAGATATGGCAAAGTCAATTGAAAACTGTCATGATAAAATTGATGAGTGTAGTAATCTTATAAAAAAACAAGATTCTAAAATATCAGAATGTTTGAATAAAATTGAAGAGCTATCTACTAAATGCAGCAACCTAGAAAAAGAAAATGCGGTACTGAAAATTGCCATAAATAAGCAGGAGCAACATACAAGACTTAATAGCGTCGAATTACATGGTATTCCAGAAATAAAAGGTGAAAACGTTATCGAAACAATTATGTACGTTAGCAGAGCCCTGAATGTTGAACTTAACACCAACATGATAGATTGTTGTTATCGTCTACCTGCTAAACAACTCAAACCAAATAATTCGAGAAGTATCTTCTTAAAACTTATCTCCAGGATAAAAAAAGAAGAAATCATGAAAGCGAAAAAAGTAAGGAGCACCTTAACGGTTCAGGATATCTTCAAATCGGATATGAATATTCCATTCCAAAATAGGATCAACCCCAATGAACCAGTGTATGTTAACGAATCGTTAACCAGTGCAAATAAAGTTTTATTCGCGAAATGTGCAGAATTTAAAAAGAAAAATAATGTGAAATTCCTTTGGGTGAAGAATGGTAAAATTTTAATGAGACAAAAAGAAAATTCTAAAGTGTATGTCATTGAAGAAACAGAAAACCTAAATGATGTCCATTAACCATAAGGTAAATAAGTTGAATCTGTTGTATCAAAATGTTCAAGGTTTGAACTCAAAGTTAAATGATTGTTTGTTAAATGTTAGCACTTGTGAATTTGATTTGATTTTGTTGACAGAAACCTGGTTAACGTCATCTGTCTTTGATCGAGAATTTATGAATGATAGTTATACCGTTTTTAGGAAAGATCGTGATCTAATAAATACCGGTAAACAAGCGGGTGGCGGTGTCCTGGTTGCTGTTAGTTCTCATTTAAATTGCCAGTTATTACCATTTTCATGCAATATCATAGGTATTGAAGATATTTGGGTAAAAGTTGATTTAATGAATAATACATTATTTTTATGTTGTGTTTATATACCGCCTAGATCACCTATTCAGTGGTATAATACATTTTTCGATAGTTTTGAAAGAATAATGTTTGGTTTGAATGCTGATGTGCTAGTTGCAGGGGACTTCAATATACCACGTATAGTAAATTTACACACCCTCACTAATCTTTCAAGTATTGAAGTTGCTTACTTACAGTTCCTAGAAGTATTTGATCTAAAACAATGGAATATTGTTAAAAATCATAGAAACAGATATCTAGATTTGGTTTTATCTAACCTCAATGTGAAAATCGAAAGATGCGATGTTCCTGTGGTGAAGGAGCCTCCTGAACATCCAGCGCTATTTGGTATTTTGGAGCTTACCTTCAATAATCTTAATAAATATAGTAAATCTTTCAGTTCCCAGTATAATTTCAGAAAGGCAGACTTTGAAAAAATGTATATGCGTTTTGGCGAAAAAACATGGGATGATTTAATTGGATGTGATGATGTAAATGTAGTATTGGATATTTTTTATGGACATGTGTATGAAATATTCGATGAATGCGTTCCACTGGCAGTCCAAAAGAAGAGACGTTACCCCCCCTGGTTTAACCGCAATATTATTGCTGATATCAGACGAAAACATGTTTTCAGAAAAAGATATAAAAAACAACAAAACGAAAACGACAGGCAACAATATATATATTTACGCTCAAAAATAAAGAGAGACATAAAAATTGCACATGCTGATTATGTAAAAACCATGGAAAGTGATATAAAAAACGACCCAGCTAATTTTTGGAAATATATCAACTCGGTAAAGAAGAATAGCGATTCTATATCAGGGGAAATGCATTACAATGGTAACACTATGATTGACAATGTGGATATAGCGAATGCATATGCAACGTTCTTTCATTCAGTCTATTCTGGAACGAAGGCTCGATATAATATAGAAAGTCTTGAAAATGAATCGAATACCATCGATAAACTGCAAATCCAGGACATAACAGATGACGAAATAAAGGTCGCTATCAAATCTTTAAAACCAAAAAAATCTCTAGGACCGGACAAAATACCTGCATATATATTCAAGGGCTGTGCAGATTACTTGATAAAACCCCTAAAAATAATCTTTAATCTTATTCTGAAAACATGTGTGTATCCCTCCAAGTGGAAAATCACTAAAATCTGTCCCATTTTGAAAGGTGGCAATAAAAATGAAATCACCAATTACAGGCCAGTGGCATTAATCTGTGCTCCAAGTAAGTTATTTGAATCTTTGTTATATGTGAAAATATTTGACTATATTAATCTAGAATTATCAGAAAAACAACATGGATTCATTTCAAAAAAATCAACTCTGACAAACCTATTAAGTTTTTCACAATCAATCAATGAAGAGATCGATAACAATGGTCAAATAGATGTCATATACACAGATTTCGCAAAGGCGTTCGACAAAGTTGACCATGATATAATTCTCAGTAAGTTGTCTGAATTGGGATTTTCTAATAATTTGTTGAAACTCTGTGCATCATATCTCGAAGATCGTCAACAGTATGTGGTATATAAAGGAGGTACATCTTGTGAATATTTTACAAATTCAGGAGTACCACAAGGGTCAAACTTAGGGCCTATATTTTTCTTGTGCATGATAAATGACCTACCGGATATTGTTGAAACTGCTGAATGCCAATTATTCGCTGACGATTTGAAGGTTTATGCGAAAATCGTCAATGAATCAGATTGTGAAAACTTACAAAATGATATTAACAGAATAATGTCTTGGTCTGAAAATAATAACCTATACTTCAATGTTGGAAAATGTTTCTCCGTAACATTTACTAGAAAGAAAAATATAGTGGACTTTACATACAAATTGAATGACACAGCCTTACAAAAAAAAACCGGAGCTATGGATTTGGGTGTTTATTTGGATAATGAACTGAACTTCAATACACATATAGATAATATCTCTAAACGGGCGTACAAACTACTTGGATTTATAATAAGAAATTCTTGCAAATTCAATGACTTAAAAACATTGTGTTTCTTGTATAATGCTTATGTAAGAAGCATATTGGAATATGCTTCGGCAGTATGGTCTCCTTTTTACGAGCGTCATAAAAACGAATTGGAGAAGGTCCAAAAGAAATTTTTGAGATACCTATATTATAAAAAACACAAAGTGTATTATTTTGATATACTGTCACGACCAGGGGGGCCTTCCTCCCCGGCTGCGTGATCTTAGGGGGTTATGCTTGGCAGCAAGAGGGTGTCCTAACTACCACACTCTCGTAACTCGATTGTGGCAAGGAAAGAGTGCATGTTTTGATTAACATAAATTTAAGTTTTATTGAACGATCAAGAAACAGTGAACAAGTGAGCAACATAATAAAGGTTAAGTGAGACAAAAAAAAGTTAAGTGAAGTGACTAAATTAAAGTGACCCTATGGCTACACCTTCTAGTGAAATCCTATACATCTCTGGATCTAACTACCAACGTGGTTGGAGACAATTACAGGGGCTGTACAAGGTAATGACACAGTTTTTGATTGAAAAATGTACTTACATTGTCCATACAATAATCGCTGCTCCGGCAGGGGAAGAGATGTGTGTCATGGCGTTGACGTCTACTCACTCACTAGGGTGGTTACCCGGAAAAAACTGTCCTCGTAATCAACGTCGTACCGACTCTGATTCTCTGATTGTTCGATTGACCCGGAAAATCTATACTTCAATTGTTTTATAGGCGATACTTGCCGAGTTAGCAGAATCAGCAGTAATCGTACCTATCGAGTTCATTACCTCATAGGTGAACCTTCAAGTCCGATGAATTCTGCCGGAAAAGCTTACTAGGTTCCTGTCTGTGAAATCTGAACCGGGTTTGAATTACATATGTTATGTGAATGACTTTGGATATTATCTACTGAGGACTTTGATTTTCTTATGGATATTTCTTAATAAATTGATTGAATTGTTCCTTTGGTATACCAGGTGTGACAATACCATATAAAACTTTATTGAATGAGTTTAAATTAATTAAATTAGAACATAGAAGAGAAATAGCATCGGTACTATTCTTGCATAAATTAGTTAATGGGCAAGCCATTTGCCCGGTAATTTCAAGAAAGTTAGTTCGTCCTCAAGCACACTATGTTAATAGAGATATCCCCATATTTTTTCTGCCAAGACCGAAAACGAATCTTGGTTTGAATGCTCCTTGTGAAGAATAATTGTCAAATTATGTATTTTCAACGTTAATTTATAGTTAATTTATATTGTTTCACTCAAAGTTGTCTCTAACAAGATTTCAACATACGGTATTATCACATTTCTGAAAGATATATCTGAATGTCAAAAAATGATTTAATTTGTCAACTTGGAATACAATTTTGAAAATAGATTTTAACTAGAGAGGCAACCGTAAGTTATGATAATAGTTAGATATTTGTACATTTAGCTCACATAGAATATTTCTAGGAATTTGAGTACTGCGAATTTACTGCGTAATTCACTGCGTGATTTACTGCTTGAAGTGTATACGTCTGAATTGTACAGCGTATTTGGAGAAATAAAAATAAAAATCTCTACGAGTGGTTTGTACTGCAAATCCGGCCAAGCTCTAGTTTTCAATTTCATCTATTTACAACAAGCTCAAATTCGGTAAGTTGCATTACTTTATATACTGGGTCTCGACGAAATGGCTTCAGCATCAGTTGGAGGAACCAAATGCGACCGCTGTCCGGTATGCAACGAACCATATAGAGACGAAAGGATGGTTGAATGTACAGGATGTAAGAAATGGTGCTGTTACGAGTGTGTAAATGTAAATAGCTCCGATGATGTAGCCGCCAACGAATCGTGGATGTGTCCATCATGTGAAGCAGCGACCAGAGTACCACAACCAGCACAGTCCCATAAAACTACATGCAGCAAGAAGAGTAGTTCTCTTTCAAGAAGCAAGAAAAGATCTTCAGTAATCAGCAGCAGAACTAAGATGAGAATGCAGCTAATTGAAGAAGAAAGAGAATTATTGCGAAAAGAGAGAGAATTAGCTAAAGAAGCAAGACAACTACTAGATGAAGAGTCAGATGATAGTCAAGATATTAGTGACGAAGAAATAAGAAAATCTGACCCTTTGGCCAATAAAATGCTATCATTGCAGATTGATGAATGCTTAGAAAATAGGGAAGATAAGCGATATACTCGTTTGTCTAATCCTCAGCATACTACTGTTATGAATATACCTAATGGAGCTCAAAGTTCTCCTGGATTTCAACCAACTAATCAACAGCCATTTGCTTCTGCTCTTCCTCCCACTGATCAAAAACCAGTGTCTAATGACATTGCTTTGACACCGCAACAATATGCAGCTAGGAAAACTACACCAAATGATCTCCCTATCTTCAATGGTAATCCGTCTGACTGGCCTCTGTTCATTAGTTGTTATGACAGATCTACTATGTTGTGTGGTTTCGATTATAATGATTATTTTTTTTACATGTCAAAATGTGACGTTTTCCTTGTTTCAACCAATATCAATGCGTGATTCTAGCCAATCATTCGGAATCATACTGATAATTTGTTAGTATCAAATTACCGCGATGACTTATTCACGTTTGGATCTTCCTTCAAATGGATACAAAAAGGGACCCATAGACTGCGATGTTGATAGGCTGTTTTGTTCGACTAACAAGTCTGTTCGAACAAAAATTGCGCACAACCGAAGTGTGTGGCTGTAAAATGTTCGTTTTCGCTGGCCACACACTTTAGTTTTGTGTCTTTTTTGTTCGAACAGACTTGTTCGACGAACAAAACGGCCTACCAACAACGCAGTCTATGGGGCACCTTTAGAGAATTAGCATTGACTTGACTTGGTTGTCAAGGTAACGCAGCTATTTGTCTCAATGTAAACATTTCGAATTCAGAACCGACGCCATTGTTAAGTATCAGTCAGACTTCGTATTTTGTGATTTTCTCTAACGTTTAAACGAGTTGGTATAGGTTCGGAAAAACTTTACAATTATTATTAGTCATTAACAGAAACCGACATGAGCACGAGATTTGGTCAAAGCTCGGCTGATTCAATACATTTAGCTGTCGAACAAGCAACACCAATCAACACCACAAAAAGCAAGAATACGATATGGAAACAGTTTTTGGAGTTCTGCCTTGAACGTAATTATGAGTTGACTGCAACAACCGAGATGAAACAAATCGCATCAATTATGGAGGACTGGGCATATAACATGCGAAAAAAAAATGGAGAAAACTACAAAGAATCTGTTGTCAAAACTTTGTGGAATGTCACCGCAAAACTTATCCAGGAAAAATATTTCAGGGAGTATAATAGAAACATTGATCCGTTCACTGATATTGAATTTAAGACCGCGCGAGATGCGCGGAATTGCAAACGTCGAGAACTTCAACATATTCCTGAAAAAAGAAAAGCATCTTCTGTTGCTCTCAAGAAAGAAGAAATAGAAAAAATGATAGCAGCATGGGACGAAAATACTCCAAATGGCTTACAAAGGAAGTTTTATCATACTGCTAGCTACGAATTGGCTTGGAGAGGCGGAGAAGCGACAAAAGCATTAGTACAGTATTTTAGAGAAGAAATGGATCATTATGGAAATCAAACTGGAAGGATAGAATATAATCCAATAATTTCTAAAACAGCACAAGGAGGATCGCACAGGTTATCTGATAGCAAATTTTTAACGCCAAATGAAAATGAGACTGAAAAATGTCCAGTACGTCTCTTTCGGAAGTTAATGTCGAAAAGAAGTGCAAATATTCAAATTGATCGTTTATTTTTAACACCTAATCCAAATTGGCAGCAACCTTTGTCTAAGGGGTGGTACAAAAATCTTCCGGTAGGACAAAATGAAATAGCAAAATGGACAAAACAAGCGGCCCGAAAGATTGGCTTGGATCCTAGCAAAATCAAGGTTACAAACCATTCACATCGTTCTTCTGCTGTGACACAACTCGCTAAAAGTGGAGTAAGTGAGCAGCAGTTGTTGAAGATAACTGGACATTCATCTGCAAGCTCCATCAAACCCTATCTTCAACTTGACAAAGAGCATCACGCAAGCATGATAAACAACTTGAGAGGAAACACTGTTTCGACCTCTTCATCTCAAGGAAATTGTACAATAACATACAATAATTGCACCATTACAAACGTAAATTGTAAACATTCTTGATTGTTTGATATATAATTATTTGATATATAATTGTTTGATATATAATTGTTTGATATATAATTGTTTGATATATAATTGTATGATAAATGATTGTTCAATAAATAATTGTTTAATAAACATATTCTGGGGCATTTTGCGAAATAGTAAAAAAAATAATCACGCCGAATTACATTCGTGTTGGTTATTTTTTTAAATAATTTTAACTAGATTTAGCACTCGTCTTTGTTGCTATTGAGAAATCCCACTCGTGGACTTCGTCCACTCGTGAAATTTCTATAGCAACAAAGATTCGTGCATCTAGTTAAAATTATCAAAAAATTACCACCACTTGTGTAATTACTGTTGAAAATTTATTGAGACTACAAAAATGCATTAGAGGATCTGCTAGGACTGCTGTCTCCAGTTTTCTTATACAACCTGAATGCGTGCCTCAGATAATATCTACGTTGAAGATTCTATACGGTAGACCAGAGCAAATCATAGAAGCACATATAAATATAATTCGCCGTCAACCATCACCCAGGATAGAAAAACTGGAAACACTAGTTGAATATTCTCTAGCTGTTAAAAACTTATGCGTCACTCTAGAAGCAGCTAAATTAAATGATTATTTAAACAATCCAATACTCATGCATGAACTTATAGAGAAACTCCCATCACAGATCAAGGTTAATTGGGCCTTGCACCGAAGTTCATTACAAAACTTCAATGGTCTTGCTAGTTTTGCTGATTGGATGTATATTACTGCTACAAACTTATGCACTGCCTTACCTACCCTTGTCATACCTGATCGAAAGAAACAATTTAATCAAAATGAACGTACAAATGTTCATAATACTGATAACAATAAAACAGATGACGTAGAATTAACTTGCAAAATATGCAAAGGTAAGTGTAGCCAGGTTGCAGTATGTCAACAATTCCAAAATTACCCTGTATCTGAGAAATGGAGAGTATTGAAGTCATTGAAATTATGCAGGCTATGCTTGAAGAGACACAGATTCTCATGCAAGTATCCAGTCAAGTGTAACAAGAATCAATGCCAGAGCAAGCATCATCCTCTTCTTCATAATAATGTAGATAGGACCCCAGAAACTCAAGTTTCAACTAATCAAGAACTTCACCAAGTCTCAGTGTCCTCTGAAATTAACATGGCTCAAATATCTTCCCAATGTATCCGTTTCAGAATATTACCTGTGATTTTGAGAAATGGCAATAGAACAGTCAAAACGTTTGCATTCTTGGATGAAGGATCTTCAGTTACCCTATTGAATGAAAATATTGCCAAAGAGTTGAATTTACATGGAAACCAAGAGCAACTATGTCTTAGATGGACAGGGGATCAAGAACGATTAGAGAATAATTCCGAAAGGGTTTGTTTTTCGATAGCAGGAGACTTCCAAGGATCAAAACAATTTGATTTTCGTCCAGCACGTACAGTTGCTACTTTGAGCCTTCCACGACAATCACTCAATAGCAGGGAACTCAAGGAAACCTATTCTTATCTAGAGAATCTTCCATTCGGATCATATGAGAATGCAACACCACAAATACTTATTGGCTTGGATAACTGGGAACTTGCCTTACCGCTTCGAGTGAAAGAAGGCCAAGAAGGACAGCCTATAGCTGCGAAGTGTAGGCTAGGATGGACCGTCTTTGCATTATCACAAAAAGACTCAAAAAATACCGCAACAACGTATAACTATCATATCTGTGAATGTTCTGATGAAAAAATCACTAACGAAGTACTGTATGAAGCAGTGAAGGAGTATTTTTCAGTAGAGAGTTTAGGAGTACAGTCTTCAAACAATATCATCTCCAAAGAGTTACGAAGAGCTAGAAATATCCAAGAATCTACGCTAACTCAGAATGAAAATAGATATGATATTGGTTTATTATGGAAATATGACAATATCAGATTACCTGATAGCAAAGGCATGGCTATACGAAGATTGGAATGCATCGAAAAACGAATTAGGCATAATCCCGACCTGGCAATTAAAATGAACGAGCAGATTGAAGATTTCATGAAGAAAAGATACATAAGGAAACTCTCCCAAGAAGAATTGTCTAAATCCCATGAGAAAATATGGTATCTTCCTATTTTTCCAGTGTCCAATCCAAATAAACCTGGCAAATTTAGGATTGTCTGGGATGCAGCTGCCTCAGTTCAAGGAATATGCCTGAATTCCATGCTACTCAAAGGAGATGATCAACTAGCATCTCTACTGGGTGTTCTTCTACGCTTTCGTGAGAGAAAAATTGGATTTTCTGCCGATATTAAAGAAATGTTTCTTCGAGTTGGCATAATAGATGAAGATCAACAGGCACAACGCTTCTTATGGCGGGATGGCAACCCTCAAAATCCTCTGGATACATACGTTATGACCGTAATGACCTTTGGAGCCTCCTGTTCACCAAGTTGTGCACAGTTTGTTAAAAATACTAATGCCAACAAATATTCAACAGAATATCCAAGAGCTGTAGAATGCATTGTTAAAAATCACTATGTAGATGATTTGCTCGATTCAGCGAATACAGAGGAAGAAGCAGTTACCATAGCAAAACAAGTCTTTTTCATACATTCGAAGGCCAATTTTGAAATAAGGCACTGGCGCTCCAACTCCAAAAAAGTATCGGAAACCATGAACTCATCGACACAAAATCCCGTAGAAATCAACATGAACATTGGAACTGACAAAAAGACCGAAAAAGTTCTGGGCATGTGGTGGGACTTAAAGACAGATTGTTTCGTATATTCTTTACGTTTCAATAAAGGAAATAAAGAAGTTCTCAATGGGAATAAAAAACCTACAAAAAGAGAAGTTTTACGAATACTAATGTCTGTCTATGATCCATTAGGACTCCTCTCCAACTTCCTGATTTATCTGAAGATACTACTTCAAGAAATATGGAGAAGCAATATTAGTTGGGATCAACCTATCACAGATGACCAGTTCGACAAATGGCTCATTTGGCTGAAACAACTTCCAAAAATAGAAGAAGTATCGATTCCACGATGCTATTTGAAAAATTTACAAAATTGGGATGGAGCGACCACGCAAATGCATATATTCGTAGATGCTAGTGAACATGCTAGTGCTGTGGTAGCATATCTGAGGATTC